TACACCCTGTCCTGCCTTGGAGCCAGCTGACTATAGACTGAAACAGCTACAGTAAACCTCTCATCTTTTGATTACAGGAGTCAGGTATTTTGTTTAGCAACAAAAGTGACTAAGCCAGATTCTGGTACCAGGAGTGGGGTTATTGCTGGTTGAGAAGCCTTTTGAACTGGTTCATGGAAGGAGTTTGGAAAGGCTTCAAGATGCCTGTTGGAGAAGCCCTAGAATGCTGTAAACTGAGCTTGATGGGAGATCCTGATCACAGTTCAGAATACCAGAATGCCGATATGCAGAAGGTCAAAGCTAGGCTTGACAGGTTTCAGTTGGGAACAAGGACTGTATTGGCAGCTGAACTTCCCGCCATGTATGGTGTCCTCTGGCAGAAAATTTGTTTACATTTTGCTCATGTCTTGAAACTTTGTCAGAGATTGAGATTATGGGTGGTATATTAATTACTTGGTGGAGAAAATTCCAAGCCAACCTAATAGTTAGGCTGCAGCGTACTATGCTTGCTACTTTTTAGCCAGGTTTATCCTGAAAATTAGGAGAAAAAAAAATCTGGAAAGTTTTCTGTTTCTCCAGGAAGAAAGGGCTGGCAAAGTTGGAGCAGAGGAGAGTATGGTTGTTAGAAAGATTAACATTCTAAAATAAACCACGTACTTTACAGCAGGACAATAGAAAAAATGGCTTGAGAATATGTGAGGAGGGAGCAAGGCCCCTCCCATGATAGCTTCAAAAATACAAGTCAGCAGGGTGTGGGATTACAGCACATACCTGTAATCCCAGCTCTCTCGAGGCTGAAGCAAGAGGATTGCTGCAAGTTTGAGGGTAGCCTGGGCTACATGAGTTCAAGGTCAGGTGGAACTACAAAGCAAGACTCTGTCTCTAAAATATATATACTTTATATATACAAATATTTAAGAAATGCAAAGGTCAACATTTTTGAGAAGAGAGCCTCTAGGCACTGTGCTCTAGGAGAATGGCTGTCCGGGCAGTTTGTTTCCTGGGGTTTGCATCACACAGGCATGCATGCACTTGAAGACTGTAACCATGATACAAAGGACCATAGCTACTGCTGCTAAAGCTAGCAGCAAACTTCAACATTGTCCATTTGTGCTGGTTTTACAGACATTTAGAATGCAAGAGTTGTGGGGTCAAGGAGGCTTCCACCTAGATTTCAGAATTAAGCCTGCTTGGGAGACCAAGCAGTGTGCTCTTGAGAGAGCAGTGCATGAAGCTGTGACAGAAGTTGAAAATGTAGTGGTACCTCAGTTTATAAACTTAATTCTTTCCATGATTCTAGTCATGAAATTCAGTGGTTAGGTTCAGTGTGGACCTTATGAGGAAATTTGATTTGGTTCTCATCCAATTTGGTTTGTAACCAGGATTGTGGAAAAAGTTAAGTTCATGAACTGAAGTACCACTGTACAGTGCAAGTTAGAGATGCCAGGAACATAAAAAGTCCACTGAGAAAGCCACAAGGAGTGATCAAAGCCAACCCAAGAGAGAGGTTATGAGGCCTATCACCATTGGAAGTTAGCATAGGGATAGGGCTGCTTAAGCACTTTGGAGTTCAGATCTCTTTGCCACAACCTGCACGGAGTGCTGGTCATGGAATCACAGGATTTAATGTTTGCCTTGCTGGATTTCAGTCATACTTTAATCCTATTTTTTTCTATTTTCTTGTTCCTCTTTTTGGAATAGAAATACTTACCCTGTGCCATTTTATGTCAGCAGTATTTAGGTTTTTCTTTCCCCTGATTTTTATAGGAGTTCACAACTAAGAGTTTGCCTTAAATCTCAGAGGAGCCTTTTCAGTAATGCTGAAACTGTTAGCACTTTGGCAACACACAGATATGGACTAAATGTATTTTACATAAGGAGATGCAGTTGACTCTTGTGGGCTAGGGGCAGAATGTTTTGGTGTATGTCTGTTGTCCCCTCTCCAAGCGCCATACACTCATAGGTAAGGCTTTTGGAAGGTGATTGAATTATAGACATGTCCTGGTTACTTTTCTCTTGTTGCTGAGATAAAATATCTGATACCCAAAATTAAAGAAGGAAAAGCTTATTTAACTCAGTGTGTGGAGGTTTCAGTCTGTAATTAGCTGGCTCCAAGGTTGGGTAGCATGGCACTGGGTCAACAGTTTAAAATGGCAGAAGACAACAAAAGCAACAACAACAAAAATAAAGGGGCAGAGAACCAGCCTTTTTTCCTCCCTTACATTGTATGCAGGTTGCCCCCACTTAAAGCAGGTGTAGCGCTCACACCATCTCTGTGTCCTCCTATGCCACAAAATTAGGATGTTTATAAAGTAAGGACCCTGGCTCTCTGCTGAGTTACTTATACTTCTAAACTTTTCCAGTTGACACAGTGTATCAACCATAGCAATCAACCTCTTGTCGACCTGGCAACCAGACACATTTCTTTATACCCATTTCCAGATACAAAGGCAGTTTATTCATACCCATTTCACAACCTGAACATTATAATACAGGTTTATCAATTCTTAAGAACCAATATTGTCTATCAATATTATATTACATTAGAACCATAGCATTCCACCCCTGTCCCTGCAAAGACTCATGTACATTCCTCTAGGCAAAAGCATTTAGTCTAAGAGTTGCCAAAGTCCTAATGGTTTCAGCATTGCTGAAAAGTCCAAGTCCCAAGTCCCCTCCAAGATGTAAGGAAAACTCTTAACTTCAAGCCCCTGTATAAATGAAAACAAAGTGAAACACAGCATTGAATGACACAAGAAAAAAATTTTGTTCCAAATGCTACAAACATTTGGGAATGCAAAGGATTGGGACAAAAGCAAGTCCAAAATCCATCAGGGCAGACATTAAGTCCTATAGTTCAATGTCCAGCATCTGAGGCAATCTATGGCACATTGTGAACTCCAAAGAGCTTGCATGGCTCCACTCTTACGTACTTCTGGTGGTTGTAGTTCCACAGGTTCTCTTATGCCTGCTTTACTCCTCCTTGCAGCTGTCCTTAGATAATCCATGTTGCTGGATTTTCTAAAGTTGTGGGGTCTTCACTGCACCTTTGGCTACACCCTCACAGCTTCACACATTGCTATCTCAGGGGCACACTTCCTGGCCTCCTAGGCCTTCTAAAAAATTAAGGTGAATGCTTTCTTAACCCCGAAATTCTTGCCTTCTGCATATATCTAAAACCAGCGCCACTTGGATAATGCCAAGGTCTGCTGCCAGCTGGAACAGTATCCAGGCTTTTGTCTCTCTTGGCTGTAGGGACTGAGTGCCTGGATCACTGGGCACTCTGAATCCACTTCTGAGGAACAAATTTTCTATGCTGTCACCATTCTGGAACATGGTGCTCTGCAGTTTTCCCTCTCAAAGTAGAGTCTTTCACTTTTGCAGTATTGAGGCTACAAAGGATGAAGACTTGCTGTTTCTTGTGATGCCCTCAGGTCATCTTTTTTTATTCTTTTGTCCCTTCTCAGCAGTGGATATCTTGTTAGCTCTGTCTTTGTAGTGCATAGCTTTACTGGAGCTTCCTTTCTGGTCAACCTCACAACATTTTAAATCATCCTGCTGGGCTCTTCATTTGCAACATAAGTCTGGCTAAAAACCCCCAAACAATAGTCATTCCATAGCCTCAACATTCAATGGCCTTGAAATTTCTTCTGCCAGATTAATTAGTGCACCACTCTTAATCTCACTCTCAGGCAAAGTCTCTGGACATGAGCAAAGTGCCTACAAACTTTTTGCCAAGCCATACAACACATGATCTGGAGTTCAGCACCCACTGCAGTCTTTCTTTCCAGCAGAAACCTGCCAAGCCTGGTCTTTATTTACCAGCAGGATTTGTACCAGCCTTCTGTGTCTTCTGAGCTCTGACTAGAATCTCTCACACAGAACAGTGTAAGGCATTCCAGCTCTACTCTTTCAGGTGCTATCTCTGAACCTTTCCAAATTCTTCCCACAAGCCATTCCCAAAGGCTTTTGAACCACATGGTCAGGTACAGTCACAGCACCAACCCCACTTCTCCGATACCAAGTTCTGTCTTGGTTACTTTTCTCTGAAACAAAATACTTGATGCCCAAAATTAAGGAAGGAAATTTATTTAGTTCACAGTGTGTGGAGGTTTCAGTCTGTAATCAGTTGGCCTCAAGGCAGGTTACCAAGGCACAGTGGCAACACTTCAGGGCTACAAAAGACAGCAAATCAGCAAGAGTAAAAGGGGGCAGAAACAAGTCTCTTTTCTTCCCTTATATTGTAAGCAAGCTATCCTCACCTAGGGCAGATGTAACACTCACCCCATCTCCCTACCCTCTTCTTACACAGGATGAAGATGTTTATGGGCTCCTTGCTGAGCATTTATTTAAACTTCTAAACTTTTCAAGTTCGCACAATGTATCAGCCATAACAAGGGGCTTATAACTGACTTTTCCTCAGGAGATTGGAGTCTGGTTGAAAGAGGTGATTTACTGAGGTGGTTATCTCTAATGGTTTATTGTCCTACCCAGCTCCATCCTTGACTCTCGCTGCTTCCTGTCCACCATTTCCTGAGTAGCTCCCTCTGCCACTCTCCTTTGCTGTACTTTCTTTCCATGCAGCCAGCTGACTGGACTGTTGAAGCAGAACATTAATCCGTGGTGTGGCAAACAGACTGGGGAAGTGGGCATGTTCTGTTCATTACAAAGCTCCAGGACATTTAGGTAGAGCAGTTCCCAAAGCCCTGCGTATGGAGCCAATCAGAGGTGCTGGCTTCAGTTCTTGAGCAAGGTTTTGGTAGGCAGGTTTATCCCTGACATCACCTTGAGGAGTGGAGATACAAAAGGACAGTTGCTATGGAGCCCAGGGCCCTCGAGGTCCCTCTTTCACAGTAGTTTGCGCTCGCACTGTAGTGTGTACTTGTTTTCCTGCTTTACTTGGCCCAAATTTGTTCTGCAGAACTTATTTCTTTTCCTACCATTATTAAATCTAAAATCTTCCTACCTTTTGCATTTATTTTGTCCAATTCTTTGTTCAGGACCAGAAGAAACTATAAATCAACTCTAGAAGGAGGCCCTAAAACCCCAGAATCTGTGAGTCAAAATAAACCTCTCTTCTTTTTAGTTTTGGATGTTGGGTTTTTTTGTGACTAAGAAAGCAACATATTCTTATCTTTCAAAAGCATGATATTTATATATTTGTCTAACCACTTTAAACTACTAACAGCAACGGGTTAAAAGTAGAAAGGTGGCCAGGCATAGTGGCACATGCCTACAATCCCAGCACTTGGGAGGCTGAAGCAGGAGGACTGCCAAGAGTTTGAAGGGAGCCTGGGCTACATAGCCAGTTCAAGGCTGGTCTGAACCACATAGTAGACCATGTCTCAAACACTGCCACCCTCCGCCTCAAAAAAAGTAGAAAAATAGTAAAAAAAAAAAAAAAAAAAAATATATATATATATATATATATATCTCAGAAAAATGGTAATAAAACCCTATGGTATTAATTAGATAAAATAGAAATCAAGGTAAATGAAATAAATAGAGGTAAGGATGGTTTCAGTTATCCTTCAAATGCATCACTGTAAGTTTCTTACTCTTCTTATCTAAGCTGTTTCATCCATGTCTCTAAATGTACCTTCATTGCCTAACTGCCGGTTGCGTATATCTTCTCTGCATTCCTAGAGAGATTGAATCAGCCTTTCTTTCTGTTTAGAGACTTTTGCCTCCTCCTCTGCTCTTGGGATTTAATTCTTCCTCAAACTTTGGTTCATTCTTGTTTTCTGACTTTCCTTCTGATTTTTATGCCTGTCTCCTTTCCTTGTTTTCTGGTGCTTCCTCATTGAAGTCAGTCACTGATCTGGTCACTTTCTCCCTGCTCCTTTCCTAGCCTTGGGTGATGGTAGGACCTGATCTGTAAAATTCCTGTATGTTGGCTTCCTGCTTTTCTGGCCTCTAACACAGCCTTGGAGTGCTAAAGAAAGCTGCTCCTCAGACGGGAACAACCCTCCTTATGCTTTTAGTAATTATTTAAGTTCATTTTCAGTTGAGAAAGATTTTACATTTTGTTAGTAGTTATGGTAGCATATGCATTGTTCTCTAATTAAATTAAGCTTCAAATGTTGTGATTTTTTTCATGTAACATATTACCTGAATTCCTACCTCCAGAGTTATAAATTGACTAAATTTATAAATAGATATAAATAAATATAAATTTATAAATTAGAGTTTCTATCTTAAAGAAATCAGAATAGTTTTTAGAACATCTAAGTATAGATAGGTTCATTCCCAGACATCATAGGCTGGGCACATTAATCACAGGTATTTAAAAGACTCTGAGGACACCTCAGCAGAAGCAGAATTGTGGAGCAGCAGGAGCAGGTGATGGAACCGTGGGCAACACATGGGGCACAGAGAGCAGTTGATGAAGGCAGTTGGTGACTCATTTCTATGCAGCAACCCTCCACAAAAGCGGTCAGAACTCAGCCCTACCTTGTGGGTTGATTTTGACACAGAGCTTCTCACTCAGCAGTAGAACTGACATTTTGCACGAGATAACTGTTGTGGATGTTGAGTGGCATCCTAGCTTCTGTTCCACAGATGATTATGGCAGCCTCTCCATTGTGACCATCAAGAATGTCTCCAGACATTGCCAGATATCCCTTCATGGTAAAACTGCTCCCGGTTGACAACCATAGTTCTAGTATAACTCCTTCTCAGGACTTTTAGAAGTCATACTAAACATTCTTAAACATTCCAGGCACAGTAGCCAGGGCATCGATGTCAGATATCTTCCATTTGTATATTCCTTTAGAGTTTTAAATGTGTTTTCCCATAAACCCTACATGCTTAGATCAAGTATAATGAAATTAAGTGCAGTACCTAATGAAAACACTAAAGAAGGGCTATTCATGTTTCATTTTTATTCATTTTTCTGGAGAAATTTTGTTTTTGAGGATCACAAAATATATTGTCTCCATGTGTGATGATAGCTTTCTTTTAAATTTAGTAACATTTTTATTGTTTGTGCTAGAGACCTTTGACTTCTATGGTTCCTTGTTCCCAAAGAAGTTAGCATTGTAAACAAAATAATTTTTAAAATATAAGAGAGCTCTTCCGTTAAGCCTGTGAGTAATTTGCATAGCAGTGCTGTAAGAATTCATCACAAGTAAATAATCAGCTGTAGGTTGGTCGCTGGAGAAACATCATAGGAAGAAGTAAGCTTGGTGTTTTGAAAAAACAGCAAACAAGTTAGGCTTTGAAAGAAATGTCTTACTTAAGTTGATGCAGGGAAGGTGAGGAGAGTGTGTTCAGGACCTAGGGGACAATGAGAATAGAGCAAAAGACTGCATTGGAGTAGAGCTGTTGCTGGAAGACAAGATTCAGACTGGATGTAGAAAGGACAATCAGATAGTTTTGAGCAGTTTGGGTCTGAATTCCAGGTTGCAAAAATTAAACTTCATCCTACAGCATTTGCAACCATCATGATTGGCTGGGGGGAGGAGAGACACAAGACATACATTTTGTGAAGAACCCTCTTCAACAGGTGGCCAACGGCATGAAGGAGAATGAATGTGGCTCAGGTAGGGTTGTAGAACTAAGGGAGTGAGAACAAGGGAAGGGACATTATAAAGGAAAATCCGCAGGACTTGGTGGCTGATGAGATAGAGGTCATAGTAAAGTGATATCCACATTTCAAGGCTGCATGACAAGAAGAATGCACATTATCTTTAACAGAAATACAAAAGCTGCCATGAGAACTCAGGTGATGTGTTCAGTGTTAGGCATGTGGTGCTTGAGATAATGGGATAAACATCCACAGGGAGAGGTCCAGATGGTAGCCAGAAGTGGTAAAGAATTTATGGAATGTGTGTGTGTGTGTGTGTGTGTGTGTGTGTGTGTCCTCAGGAAGGACCCTGAGAAGTCATCTCTTCCCTCCTGGCTTCTCATTTTATAGATGAAAAAAATGTTACATGTTAAGTGGCCTGATCCTTATCAAGTGGCATTTAGGAGGGAGATCCTATTGCACAATGCAAAGGAATTCTAGTCTTATAAAATGAAAAACACTGGGGGGAAAAAATCTGAAGTTGCCCTTTGGGATGAAACCTAACACATCAGGTTTGAAGCTCCGAAAGGGAAGAAGAATTTGGAATGTGAACCGGGAAGAGTAGAGGACCAAGAAGTTCCCCTGCCTGAGGGTGGGAGGAGGAAGGGAGCCAGCAAAACAGGCCAATAAGGATGCAATGAAGAACAAGTTGGGAGAGGTCAGGAGTCACAGAATGAGGGCTGAGAAGAGCCGCTTGCTTTGATTAGGTAGCCATGGTAGGGGCAGTCACAATGTCAAATGTCGTGCATGGACAAAATGGCAAAATCGCTAAGACTATGAAATGGATAGTACTTCATCTCCTTTTACAAAGGAGGAAACCAAGGGAAAGAGAAGTTAGCCCATCTGGCCCAGAATCACACAGCTCCTCAGTTGTAAAACCAGAATTCGTCAGTCAAGCATGATTTCAGGGGGAGTGATTAAGATACGAGACTTTGACAATAGACGGCTTGGGGTAGATTCCAGACATGGTTATCTGGCAGATACAGAGCTCTGGGAGAGGTGGGCAGAAGTCAGGGAAGCCAGAGAGGTCTTAGTGAAGCCAAGATCACGCACTGGTTAAGCCATAGGTCTTCAGCAAGAGGAGGTAAAACATATTCTTCTGAGATTATTTGCTAGCTCCTGGTCTTTTCACTACTAAAAGCTACTTTTATTTTTCCTCTCCTCCCAAGGATCCCAAGTTGTATAAGATTTTAATTATCAACTCTAAGCTTTTAATTGATGCATTAATTACATTTAATATGATGCTCCCATCTTAAGTATAATGTTTAATTTGTTTTGACAGTCAATTTTAATATATTCCCTTCCCATTTTTTATAACTCAAAGACATATGGAATTGCTAATCAGAACCTAGGACTACTGCATGAAGTTAATACAATCTAGCTAATAGTAAGGATACCTAATGCTGTAATTAACCTGTTTGCTATTTGGGAACTTTTCAAATTTCCATCCATATTAGCCCATAGATACATATTATCATCTAAGAGTACAGAGACACAAGCACTCTAGGTAAACAGGCACAGTTATGGCTAGAGGTGGCCAGGAAGAATAGGACCATTGTTGGCCTTAGGTGTAACAGTTTATTTTTAAATTGTACATATTTAAGGTACAAAATACGGTTGCTATAGGCAAGCAAGTTATAAATGTTTGTTGTCTCATATGACTACCTTCCTCGGTATATTTGTGTGTGTAGAACTACAATCGACTCTTTTTGCAAATGTCCCCAGTACAATGCACTATTAACTATAGACTTCATGTTTACATTAGGTTTGTAGGTGTGTTCATCCTACATAGCTGTAATTTTGTGTCCTTTGATCTACATTTCCACATCCCCTACCCCCACCTATAACAACTCTTTTATTGTGTGTATTCAACTTTTAAAAAAGTATTCTACATGTGAACAAATCATGCAATGTTTTTCTTTCTGTCCCTGGCTTATTTCACTTACCTAGCATAATCTCCTCCAGGTTAGTCCATTTTGTGGTAAATTGACAGGATCTTTTTTAAAGGATGTATAACATTCCATTGTGTATGTGTCTGTTTCTTCATCCATTCATCCATTAGTGGACATTTTGGTGGTTTCTAATCTTGGCTATTGTGAACAATGCTACAGTGAACAAGAGAGAGCAGGTATCTTTAAGGGGATGGTTTCATTTCCTTTGGATATGTGCCCCGAAGAGGGATTGTTAGGTCATATTGTAGATCTGTTTTTAATGTTTTTAAAACTTCAGTTTACATTTCTACCAACAGCATGAAAAGATTGTCTTGCCAACACTTTATCTCTTGAGTTTTTGGTAACAGCCATCTTAGCAGGTGTGAAGTGATTCTTCATTGTGGTTTTGATTTATTTCTCTGATGACTAGTGACCCTGAAACATTTGTATGTCTTTGTTGGAGAAATGTCTTAACATCATGTTCTTCAAACCACCTACCTAACTATCATAGTTGATACTCTGGAGTCAAGTTTGGAGAGGTATGATCTTGTTAGCTCTTTATAATAAAGAATCAATAATGATTCATCACAGATTTTTAAATTAATTTATGTGAGTAGATATGTAGTGATAGGTGATATTTTTCTTACTTCTTTCTAGTACAGTTCTTCAAATGATAGAATGTTGTAAACTACATTTCCCATACAATCTTGCAGCTAGATTGTATATATGATTTAGAATTCACTATCAGAGAGTGGTAGTGGTGGTGGGAAGAACAGCAAGTCTAGATGGATAGTGATACTGTTATTTTTTAAGTTTGATAGTAATATGGTGATACTGTTTCAAAAGTCTTTCTTTCTTTCTTTCTTTCTTTCTTTCTTTCTTTCTTTCTTTCTTTCTTTCTTTCTTTCTTTCTTTCTTTCTTTCTTTCTTTCTTTTTGTACCAAGGATCGAACTCACAACCTTGCACTTGCCAAGGAGACACTTACAGTGCTGAGCTAAATCCCTGGCCTCTGTTTTTGACATAGGCTCTCACTATGTAGTTAGGCTCAATCCTTGAATTCACGGAGTCCAGATTAACCTCAAACTTCCAATCCTGCCTTAGTCTTCTAATGCCGGTTACTGTTGGGCACCACCATGCCCAGCTGAGGGTCTTACCTTTTAAAGGCATATGCTGGAAATTTCTGGGTGATGGTAGGTAGGAGTAAAGATGAAACAGAGGAGTCATAAATTGAAAATTGTTGAAGTTGGTAAATGGAAGTTTATTATACTATTTGGTTTACTTGTATAATATATTTAAAATTTCCCACAAGAATTCTTTCAAGAGGGCTGGAGATGTCATTCAGTGGTGGAGTGGATGTTTAGCACTTATAAGGCCGTGGGCCCAATACCTAGCACCACACAAATAAATAAAATGGGAGGAATGAAAATATCAGGCAGGGTTTAATAGCATTTACCCAAGATCTTTCTATTCCTGTTAAGCAAAAAAGGGTTTTATACAAGGAATTAAGGACCTCTACGTTTGCTACAGTTGCTGGCAGAGCAGGCTGTAGGCTAAGTCTTCCAGATAATCATCAGCACAGCACTATTACGGTGGCCTGCTAAGGTGAATGGCTACTTGTGAGGCCTTTGGGAAGGCATCACCTATCTCAATGCATGGTCCAGGAATACACCCCTAGAGTCCGATCTGATGACCAGGAATCACAGCCATAACTCTTGCCCCCAGGCTATCTGCTACACTTGCTGGAGGTGTGCCAGCAAAGAGGGTGTCCTGCCCCCACCCACCATGGTTGTCCCACGGTGAACCCTAAGTCATATATCTGCAGGTCTAGCTACAAGAGTGTGGGAGTATAGTTTATACCTTTCTGTTGTTTATCAAATGGACTAACAGGAAATGAGAACAAATCCTGAACCAGTCAATCCATCACACTGTTTCAACAACTAGTAATTAGTACTGTTCCCACTACAAGTAATGTCTCCCCTACCCCCCAACTTACTATCACTTACCCCCGTCCCCCCGTCCCCGTATGTGTACGTGTGTGATACTGAAGATTGAAACCAAGGATGCCGTACCACTAATCTACATCCTCAGCGCTTTTTAGTGGGTTCAGGGGGTTGAACCCAGGGCTTGAAAATGCTAGGCAAGTGTTTCAGTGCTGTACCACTGAGTGATATCTAAGTTGGCTAGACTGGCCTCGAACTTGGGATCTTCCTGCCCCCACCTCCTGAGTAGCTGGGATTGCAAATGTGTAGCACAGCACCTGGCCAAGCTTACCTATCTTTAGAACAGTTCAAGTCCTATGAGAAAACTGTATCTGATTTCTTCAGGACCTATTTATTTTTCTTTCTATTTCCTTTACTTTCCTTCCTTCACACACGTACGTGTGTGTGAAACGCAGATATTTACTTGTTTGTGTGGACGCTTTCTGGACTCAATCAATCATGTAGTTTGATATCTACTGTATAAAATGTTTTATGCCACAGGACACTTTATGTGGGATGACCTTGCCTGCTCGAAGAGAGTCTCAGTGATCTAAGGTCAGACAAGTTTATATATTCCCTTCTTTGATCTTTGATACATAACTTCACACAAAGAATAAGGTTATATATTTTACATGGGAACTATTGTAAAGTATACCCTTACCTGTGACAAGATAATAATGCTCAAGTACCTCACAAAATTGTGGTCAGGATCAGAAGTGCTCTACGCCGAGCAAACTGTAATTTGTAAGCTATCATAAATGTTGAGAGGTGGTAATTATGGTTAACATAAAGATCTTTAGATAGTGACTCCAGTCTGTGTCTTAATTAATTGTATAGCCTGATGATCATGTCACATCTTTCAATGAAACTGTAACTCTTTGTTTCTTAAACTCACCATGTACTTCCTGCCTCTGTGGGTTAACCATGTGTTCCTCATACTCAGAAGTTTCAATGCAGGTTCCATTTCCCCTGTCTGTGTCCTCCCTACCCAGCATTCTGAGTGTAGGCAATATACAGGCTGAGTGTCCGTTTTTGGTGTTGAAGACATAACCAAGCACGGACCCCATGAGCCCTCAGGACAGAAAATGCTGTCTTAGGTGAAAAAATGCATTTATTTAAAACTCAATGATATGATTTTCATCTCTTTAATGAATATGTATTTTTTACTCATATTGTTTCATTTCACAGATATTTGTTGAGTGTGTGCTGTGTACCAAGCGGCATATCTATATATGTAAAAAAATTCTGGAAGGCAGAGCAGCATTACCTACACTGCGGTCGTCTTTGCTTTCTGAGATAACAGGTAATGTTGTTTTCTTTGTTATACTCCATTTGCAAAATTGTATTTTCTACAGAAACCTGTATTACTTATTTAGAGGAAATGAATGTATTTTTATAAAAACTGTTCTTCTAGGTGCATACAAAATAACACTCCATGAAAGAAAAGTAAGTTAAAAACAATCTTAAATTCCCAAAGTTAAATTAGAAAAAGAGAGAGATGGGTAGAGATAGAGGAAATGAAAAAGAAAGGAAAGGGACAAAAAGGGAAGAAAAAGAGGAGTGGGGAAATCCATTAATATCTAACATCGACCCAAGGTGGGTGGTGGCTTTTCTTTTACAATGTTTGTTTTAAAGATTTTACAGTGAGCCTGCGTTTATTCTTAGAACAAAGAAAAAAATATTTCAAGGTTCAGTTCAAAGTAAGTTTTTTATGAAGCTGTCTTTGACTTTTATTACCTTTTTTTTTTTTCAGACAAGTTCTTGTTAGGTAGTTCAGACTAGCCTTGAACTCACAGAGATCCTCTTGCCTCTGAGTAAGGTGTGCCAGCAAAGAGTGTGAGGATTGCAGGCTTGAGCTCACACCTAGCCTGAATTTTTTTTTGAAACTTTCTGAACCCCATAGCACTCAACAGATATATAATAAATTGAACAAATAGTATTTTTAAGTGCAGCCTTAGCCTTGGTGATAGGCATCACTAAACCTTGTTAATTTTCCCTTTCATCTTCCAGTTTTCATTTTTGAAAACAAGCTAGATTTCAAATAAGTTATTTTATAACAGAAAAATACATTCTGTATGATAAACTTAGACTACCATCTGCCTACTAATAACTTTATTTTAGTGGCCGAGACCTCTGTAAACCTTTGTCTTTGGCCCATTCTTTTAACCGATTAGTGATATATATGTTATTTTTACACACACATACAAATTATATGAAAATTTAAGTTTAAAATCTACTGATTCCAAAACTATTATTTTGATTGAACTCATGACCTTACGCTTGCCAGGCAGGTACTTACACCACTGAGCTAAATCCCCAGCCCCTTCAGGAACTGTTACACTCCTTTTCTCGAGAACTTCGTGTCTGGTGTTGTATCTCTTTCCATAGAGAGAAAAAGATTCCTTAACCCAGATTGGGAAGTCCGTCCCTGAATGCACTCCCACCTGGCCTGTAACATCATTTCTGTACGCTCAGAGCTGTCCTGTAGGGGGGCATTGGTGTGGCAAGACTCCTAGAAATCACCCATGATTGCCCATTAGGATAGCTGTCATCAAAGGGGCCAGAATGTGGAATGCATCCAAAGTTGAAAGCCTTTCAGCCTTCGGACAGTAAAAATAGACTGGGAACCCTTCCTCATGTGTCAAGGCCCAAGCAGTTGGAGCTGAGCCACTCTCATACCACTATAGTCGCTGGATCACCCAGCTTCAGCCTAGGAAGAATGGGGCTCAGATATCCTTGTCCTGACTTTCTGACTTCTGGAAGATGCCCCGCTGCAGAAAGGAAGAGGTTCCTGGAACCCAAGGTATTAGGTAGTATTTATGTTGTGGAAGTTTTAAAGGATCCTGATGCCAAGGCAAGTTTCATGCTAGAAGGGAGATTGTGTGAAAGAAGAATATGATGTACTCTGAATGGGGAAGAAAAGACACTCTCTGAAAAATATCCTTGTGGGGCACTTTTATTATCACTGACTGAAATGCGTCTCGGGATATACTAGACTGCCTGGATAGTGGCAATGCAGTTCTATCACTTAACTAAGTCAAAATCAATCATCTTGAAGAATTCAAAGTCTGATGAAATAGCGTGTTCTCAGGTCTCCGCTGCCTCACTGAGAGTGCCTGGTGAGGAGGCGTCTGTGCATGTATCAGCCTTGCTTTCAAGTTGCCTTTGCCTCTCTGGGCACCTTCTAACTTGTGATACTGTTTTCCCAAAACTCTTTCTCTTCCTTATATTCAATTGGTGAGCCCTAGAAATGTAAAGCACAGTTACCCATGTGGGAGAACATGTGAACTCTGATAGTCTTTCAATTCTGATGAGGAAGTACGGTTGCAGGTAGATTAACCAAAATCCCCTGAGTATGAGTTTTTAATTCTCTGACGTAGGGTGATTTCATTGAAGAGATTGCTTTAATCTCTTGCAGTTGATGGATAAACTGTCTGCTCAGTTTCAAAGCAAAATTTGTCCACTGCCCAGTTGACCACCAGGTTGGGTAGTTGATCCCATGTTGATGCCATTTATGCAGGATTTGTGATTTTCCTAAAATGAGATTGCTCCATCAGAGGTGCTTCTGAGTCTCTGTGGTCTGTACCCAGCTGGACATGTGCCCTGTGACCTGACACACTAAAAGCACCGAATCCGTGGAGCACAGTGTTTCATAAGAGTGCCTATACTGCCTGCTGCTAATAGTGTTCCTGTAACTGTAAGCATAAGATTATGGGATATGACTCACTTCACAGTAAAAATGGAGGGAAAAATTTGAAAGGCACAATAAAATATAGAAATAAAATTTTATAATTTGATGTACAAAAATTGCTTTAGTGTGGCTAGTGGTAAAATGTGAAAGTTGTATTATCAGCAAGTTGTTTACTTGTAATAGTTCATTTTAATCAGTGGTATTTATTATATGTTGAATTATTTCTTGTTGTGTTTTAGGGGTATCAAGTATATATATCTTCTGTTATCTGCTTCTAAATACATTCAGAACAAGAGAAATTTGGACTAATTTTTAGACTACGCATACTTTCTAAATATGATGCATTTCAAAAGTGGGCTCGAATTAACAGAATTGCAAAACATGACAGTGCCTGAAGATGATAACATCAGCAATGATTCCAATGATTTCACTGAGGTAGAAAATGGTCAAATAAATAGGTGAGTATTTTTCTACTAACATGCTTTATCCAATGAAAGAAATAGCTCTAAAAATTTATTCTGGTTTTCCATTATTCTCTTGAATTATTCATTACTAAAGTTATGCTCCACTTGAAGATACAATTTGAATTTCTTATGTGACATCTGTTGGGCATAGTCTGCCTTAGCAGATGAAGCAAATAGGAAAGTAATTTATTCATCTTTCAAATCTTTCAATTGAGTCTAATGAAAGTGTATAAATACATTGGACCCCAACCAGCGTAACTTTTCAAAAGCTCAGTGCTTGTGAATTAAGACAAACTGTTCAAATTTTACCACATCTCATATTTGATTGTATACTATAATCATAGGTACACATTTTAATTGACACGGTCAAAGTTGTATTTGCCAATAATCCAGTATTAAAACTACAAACGAGTACCTTGTCATTGTGAACACCCATTTGTAGTGTGGATTTTTTGTTTGTTTTTGTACTGCGAATCAAACTCATGACATCAAGCTTACCAGGCAAGTGCTTGAGCCACTGAGCTAAGTCTCCAACCCGTTGTTTGTTTTTGTTTTGGGGGGATTTTTTGGTTGGGGGATCAAACTCACAACAGGCAGGCACTGTGCCACTAAGCTATATCCCCAACCCTGTAGTGTGGATTTCAAATAATAGCGATAGTTGGGTTCAGATGGCTCTGCGAGAGACCTATAATAGAAAAGTAGCATTTGAAAAAGAAAGGAAAGGAGAAGAAGTAGGGCAGAAAGAAGGCTCAGTTGGGTGTAGTGCTACATGCATAGCCCTTGGGAGACTAAGGCAGGAGGATCACTACAAATGAGTTCCAGGCCAGCTACATAGTGGGCTACATAGTGATAGCCTGTCTCAGAAAAAAAAGAAAAGCAAAGGATGAAGAAGAAGAGAGAGAGGGAGGAAAGAAAGAAGTGGGGCTGGCTTGGAAGCTCTTGCCATTAGGTGTGGCCTTGGACGAGTCCTCTCAACTCTTGGGTCTGTGTTTCTAAAACTGTAAGACCAGAACCAAATGCATTTCTTTCAGTTATTTGGGGCATTCTCTGACTCAGTAGTTTTTAGCTGGCTTATGTGGCTCTTCAGCAGGAAGTTTTCTAGTCTGAGAGAAGACAATGGGTTCGCCAGGACCATTTTGTAAACACCAGCAATGCCATTACAGCAGAGGGAACAACAGAGAGAAGAGACAACCTACAGAATGGGAAGAATTTTTTTTTTGCCAACTACTGTTCTGTGGACTAATATCTAGAATAAAGAACTAAAAAAAAAAAAAAATTTCCCCCCTAAAGGACCTGATTAAAAAAATGACACATTGAAATGATGAGATACTTCTCAGAAGAAATGAAAGAAATGTTCAGCATCTTTGGCCATTTAGAGAAATGCAAATCAGAACAGTTCTGAGATTCCATCTTACCTCAGTGAATAGCAGAAAAACTCCAAGAAATAACAAATGCTGGTGAGGTGGTGGGGGAAAATAGCCTCGCTACCCTGTTGGTGTAGTAAACTGATACCACTACTGTGGAAATCAGTGTAGAGAGTCCTCAAAAATAGAAAAATAGAAAGTTCTTTTGACCCAGCTATACCTGTCCTGGGTATCTTCACAAAAGAGCTAGTTATTATAACACAGTGATGCACAACTCACATTAGCTAAATCATGGGAGGACCTATCTGTCTGTCAACAGATGTATGGATAAAGAAAATATAGTGTTTTTACACAGTAGAATACTATTCCGTCATAAAGAAAGATAAATTTGAGTCATTTGTAGGAAAAAAATGAATTGTGAGAACATAATACTGAGTGAAATGTCAGTCATGAAATATGTCATTTTTTTAACCAAGAGACTCAAACTATAAATAATTAAAAAAACAAAGTAAAACAGCCACAGGAAGAAATGGAGAGGTAGACTATGAAAATGAGAAGATTATCAGGGGAAGGAGGAAGAGGAAAGAGCCTGGGGTGGGGTCAAAATGATTAAGATGTGATACATATTATGTATCAACCTCCAACTTGAACATAATCTCTACATATCACAAGCATATACTAATAAAACACTACCATTGCTATGATTTGAGAGGGTCAGCAGGAAACTGGGGCAGGGGAAGATAAGGACATTTGTCAATGAATCAGCCATCTTTGTATAAATCGTTTCTGATAGTTGCTCTGCATTGTGGTATAATGTGTCATTGAGAGCCCAGCAAAGGACTTAGCTGTCAGTATTGGCATGCACTTGAAAGTTTCATTTTTCCTGCCTGGAGTGAAGGGGAGGTCCCCAACTCAATTTCCTCATTATCATGCAAGTACTGTTCATTGTATTAAGTGATGTTTCCTCTTATTTGGCTCAAGTTTACATCTTTCACCATTTTTTGAGTAAATGATGAAAAATAACCGTTTCTTGAATGTCATGTGTTCTCCATGGCTACTACATACCCTTATAATCATCATGGAGAGTAGGTGTTCTAGAAATGACAGAAAATTTAAAAATTTAATTTACAATTAAGGAAGCTTAGGGTAAAAAAGAAAGAAAAAACAGTTGCCTGTGGGCACAGACAGGTCTGTCTAAATCCTTGTGCGTCTGCCTGTGGTGCCTGTAATGGTTAAAAGTAGGGCTTCACTTAGTTCCCTGCCCCCGTGCTCTGTGTCCCTGCCATGTACCCTAGTCCTTGCTCACTGAGAGTGGCAAGTAGGACATTTTGGTTTTATAAAAAAATTTCAGTCTCAAAGCAGCACAGCCTTGAGCGCCCTAAAATGAGTCATTTATAACAGAATTTGAACTTGCTTTTTCAAAGTTTCACTTGTCAAGACTGATGCAATATTTTCGAGGTGATTACCACTTGCAGGAGGTAGACAAACACTCATCCTCACCCAGACTTGGGCCTGCTGCCCAGATGAGCTCACTTCCCCAGTGACTATGACAAGGGCAGTGAGCTGGGATAGAGGGGAACTGTGGGGTGCTGGCCACTCGTGTTGCAGAATTTGGCCCCACTCTTTCAAATGCAATGTATTGTAATGTGTTTCCTTATTTTATTGCCTCTCCTTTGCTGACCGTAGCTCACAAATATGGCTTCATTTCTAGCTCTGGGACAATGCAATAAAAAAAATCATATAGGACAGCATGAAACTAATAAAGGTTAGCAAATATCAGGAAAGATCCTTGCCAATTTGATGGAAGGCCCTTATTGGATGGCCTAGCTCCCTGCGTCACCCTGTTCCAGCAGCCCATGGTCATGCAGAAGTGGGAGTCCTGCACCCCCCACTCTCCCTGCCACTTTCTCTCATTTGTGGGAGGAAGGCAGGCTCAGCTGTATGACTCCATAAAGAGCCACCCTTCCCCAAACAGTAAACTGTAAAAGTAACAGCACTTCTTCTGAGGAGGCTAGAAAAAGTGTTGAAAACAATGTTGATCTCCTGTCACCTGGCATCTCCTTGATAATGGCATGGAAATTCCCCACCAGGATACAAAGAAAATCATTTTTTCAGTTTAGTTAAAAACAGGGTAGAGCCATTTGGCCATTAAGATACCTGTCAGTAGACTGGGAGTGCCAGTGCAGGTCATTGCTCTGGGAGGCAGAGACAAGAGGATCACAAGTTCAAACCCAGCCTAAGCAATTTAGCAAGACCATGTCTCTAAATCAAAGATCAAAAAGACTGGGGATGTACCTCAGTGTGAAGGCTCCGGGTTCCATTCCCAGTACCACCAAAACACAAAACTGATACTTCAGTTCAATTGTTTTATTTCATGACCTGATTTTGGGGTTCTACAAATAGAAATATATATCTGGAATTAACACTGAATGAACTATGAGCTTTCTACTCCCCTTTCTACCTGTAGTCTGGGTTGTGACCATTTGCTAATCCTGTTTTAACTCCCTTCTGGCCATCTCTCTTGGCTTCTGCATACTGTATGTCACAGGCATTTAAATACACATGTGCAACATTCAACACCCTTGTTGAATGCAGATTTTAGTTCGGTAGGTCTGGTTTGGGGTCTAATATTATGGCTTTAGCCGCCTTGCTTGTGGTGTCTGCCTGCTGGTCTGGATCATACTTGGAGTAGCTGACTCTAGACTCTTCCTCTTGCGAGAGCCTCCTAAGAAAAGGGATGGTTTTAACATCTTTGTCTCCCTTGTCCTAGGCCTCATGCAGGGTGAACGTTCTAAATTACTTGTTGAATGGGTAGAAGGTGGGCTCTATGGCTTTGGATTGCACTTGTGTTGAATCCTGGTTCCTTCCTAGACCTGTGTGATGCTGCTCTCTGAACCTCAGCCCCATCCCTGTAAGTCAGGGGTCATAGGATTGTTGGAGAATGTGTGACACAGTGCTGTTTATAGATTAATAGCTCTGGTTCTACAGTCAGCCACTTTGGTTCAAATCCTGGCACGACCGTTTAGTAATTAGCAATGTAACTTTGGTCAAGTTATTTAATTTCTGTAAAATAGTACCAACCACATAATAGTTGTTATGAAAATTGATGAAAAAATCCATTCAAAATACTTGGCACTGTATCTGGCAATAGTAAGCCTCTCAGTATGGGAAAAGTATTAATAAAACTCCAGCCCTCTTTTTCTGGCAGTATTCTTTTCTTTTCCACTCCAAGGAGCACTGATATTACTTTAGGTTTTGCATGACTACTGGTTATTATAGTCTTCAATGTGGTGAGATATTTGTAGATTGTCATAAGTGTATCCAGAAAAATCTTCACATATTCTTGTATTTATCTGCTGTTGTTCTCAACCCTATTCATGTATTAAGATTTGTTCTTAAAAGACATTAGGGCAGCTCTTGTCATTATACCCCCGATTCAATTGTGTGTGTGTGTGTGCTGTTCAGGGTTCATGTACTATAAGTTTTATTTTTATTTTCTTTTTCTTTTTCTTTTTTATCGGTACCGGGGATCGAACTCACAACCGCCTGCTTGCAAGGCAGGTGCTTATGCCGCTGAGCTAAATCCCCAGCCCCTAAGTTTTATTTTTAATTTGATTGACTGCGATGCTA